TGTGTGTGTGTGTGTGTGTGTGTATGCGTGTGTGACCCTAGTCCACAAAACCAGTCACAAGGGTAAATTTTTTGAAATTGAGATGTATACATAATCTGAAAGCTGAATAAATAACTTTCCATTGATGTAGTATGGTTTGTATTTGGCTGAGATACAACTATTTGAAAATCTGGAATCTGAGGGTGCAAAAAAAAATCAGAATATTGAATTCAGAGTAATGCATATTACTAATAAAAAATTAGGTTTTGATAGTTATATTTACGGTAAATTTTAAAAATATCTATAGGCTATACACAGTGTTATTCTTGTTAATTAATAGTTATTAATATAAAATAATTTAATAGTGTGGAACTATCATGTTATGGTGTAGGCCTATAAGAAAATAAGATTATTAAAAAAGGGTTATTTTAACTGCTTCTCCCCTAATACTGGTATGTTGCATCAACTCTTACAAAAATAGAAACATAAAAAAAAATAATGTACTATGAGTCAAATAATACAGTTTCACAGTTATAGTTCAAAATATTGTTTTTATTTCCAATGTAATATACATGATAAAAAGTATTCCACAATAATAATGATTTAATTTTTATTAATATATAGCCTATGTGTGAATAGACAGACAGACAGATTATTTTAAGTCATTCTAAGGTAACTGCCCAGTTTAGACAGCATTCTGCAGTTTCCAGAGCAGTCCATTGACGTGTCACCTTTCACCTACATCATTTGGTCTATTTCGTAAATATTCAGCATTGTGTATTTACAAACAGACATTTAGAAGAAAGCATTCATCATGTAATGATGTCTGGGGATTATAAGCTTTCTTCTGTCGGCAGCCGTGCCCGACGGACTTCATCTTCCAAAGGGGATTTTAGGTCTGGACAGCACAAGCATGTTGGGTTTCAGTCTCTGAATCCAGTCTGGGTACTGGCTCAAGGCATTGTGTCATGTGACTCACACTGACCTACAATAACCCAGACATGGTTGACTTCCTTTATAGTTTTATATGAAGTTATGGCAATGAATGGACAAATTTATTAGTTCACATGATAAAAAGCAAATAAATAAAAAAATATTTATTTTTAACAACATTTGTGTTGCAAGTTTGTTTTAAGGCTTGCAAAATGTGAATAAATACACATAATGTATTTTAAATTAAAATGTTGGCCTTCTGTCATACTAGAAATGTTTGTCTGGAATAGGAGGGACAGCCTCCTTAGCAATATCACTCATATCAACCACAGTATCCGTATCAAACAGAGGTGCTATGTTCTTCTGACTCTTGGTTTTCCAGTTCACTGCAGCATAGACAGCAGTCGGTTCTGAGTTGGTCAGATGTTGAGGTAAAGCATCAGGCTGCTCCACTGCCTGCTTGTTTACTGGTTTGTTGGGGGCTGAGACGGAGTGATTATCATCAGGCTTTGTCATTGCTGGAGAAGGGCTCTCATTCTCCCCTTCAGCTTTGTCAGATGGAGGCTGTAATGGAGGCTCACTAATGCACTCATAAGGATTTTCCTCATTCAGTTGAGCCTCCACGAGTGAGTATATATGATCAGTTAGATCCTTGGCATCTGGCATATATTCAACACTCTGGGACTCAGGTAGTTTCTGCAATAAGGACATTAGTTTGTAAGAATATTTATTTATCATTTAGTTTTTTTTTTTCATATCGCATACTATGACTTTTATGCCGGACTAACCTTTTAATCTAAAAAAAAATCATTATTAGCTTTCTCTATATGCTTTCCATTACAGTGTAATTTCCTTTAATCCAATAACTCTCTGGAAATTACTTATCCTCGCTTGCTGATTCACTGCAATTTACCACTAAATGATTTTAATTGACCATAATAGGATAGATATGGTTCAATAGTGTACTGCAAACGGTCGCATAGCAGGAAAAAGTGAGTTTGTCCTTTTAAAGCAAATTGTCATCATTGGTCATACTATTCAGCATTGGCTTTGTATTCAGTATAAGCTAATGGTCAAATAAATAATTATTTCTGCACAACTTAAAATGATTTTTTGTTGCTGTAACCTAATCTGGTCAGGTTTATTTGGTCATATTAAAGAATAAAAAATTTTTTTTTAGAACATCTATAAAACATTTCTTGCTCACCAATATGTTCACCAGTGAATGGGTGCCGTCAGAATGAGAGTTTTTAAACAGCTGATAAAAACATCAAAATAATCCACAAGCAGCAAATAATGTAAATAATCCACAAACTGCATGTTTGTTATACACAAATCATATACATCAATAAGACATTTTTAACTTCAAACCATTGCTTCTGGCTAGAATACAAGTCCTCTATTCATCATATAGCTTTCTCCATAGAAAAAGTCGTCGGAATCAGGAGAGAAATATGCACAGATCATATGCATATTTCTTCAATATGCAAACAGTCCAAAACAGTTCACAGTCACTGATGCAAACATTATTATGGAATATGGACTGCTATTTTGGCCAGAAGCAATGGTTTAAAGTTAAAACACTTTATTGATGGACTGGAGTCGTATGAGTTACTTGTGGATTATTGTGAGGTTTTTATCAGCTGTTTGGACTCTCATTCTGACGGCACCCATTCACTGCAGAGGATCCATTGGTGAACAAGTGATGTAATGCTAAATTTGCCAAATCTGTTCTGATGAAGAAACAGACTCGTCTATCAAATTTTCAGCAAATTGTAATTTTTGGGGTGAATTATTCCTTTAAATAATATTTTGACTTAAAAGAAAGTAATTTAGATGTTGTCAAGTGAAACACATTTTGAAGCAACCTGGCAATTTTTTACAGTATATTTTAATAGTGAACAATAAGCCATTGAAGCAACAACCAAGAGTAATACTAATTAATATATTGTATTCTGAGTACGAGTTTTGCCTTATGTCAGTCTCTTACATTTTGTTGAGGTGCAGATGGAATATTTGTTTTCTCTCGTCTGTGCAAATACCTGGGTGAAACGCTGTCAGATATACTGGAGACAAAAAAAGAAAAGTCACTATTTCAAATGTTACAGATACACGGTAGCAACCACTTTGGATCCTGTTTATTTTCCTGATATTTTTTGCATGGTCTCTGCATGCAAACATGATGCTATCAGTCCATCTTTGTGGTTTACATAAACACAAAGGCACCGGAGTTGACAAACAGGTCTCTGCTTTTCTTACAATAACACAAACATTAATGTTATTCATGCTGCGTGACATGCACTTGGTGACTTGTGCTTCTGAACCTGTCATTGCACATTCCACCCATTTGCTCACAGCATTCTGTTACAATCACTCCCTTCTCCTGGGTGTGTTTTGAATCAGCACAAAATGTGATACTGACCAAATTCCTAAATATGCATGTAAATATATAAAAAAGAACAAATGAAAAAGAGAAAATAAGAGACTTACCTGAAACAGCTTGTACAAAGGCTGTAGACTGTGACATAAATGACGATGAAGAGGGCTGACACAACGCTAATCTGAAGGGAGGAAGAACAACCTGATAACCAGCTGACAAGACCCTCCTCAACAGGAGCCATCACTCTTCATACAGTTTCTGTAATGACTGAAATGTAAGAACTGAAGGAAAGTAAAATCAATAATCTGTAACAGCTGCTATTCTCAATGAGATTGTTGACGGACCAATGAGTAAAAGTATGAAAGCGAATATAATGTAAGCAGTTATTACGGTTCTCACAAACATGATGACTACACAGGTGAGTACTTGTACAAGTCACACCTCTCTTTCATGTTAACACAGACAGGTGTTACTGCAATGTTAACTGTATTACTAATTTAAAAAATGCAAGGAGAAACAGTAGCGGATGAAAAGTAATGCCAAAAAAGTAGAAATATTAAAGAGTAATACCAAAAAGCAGTGTAAAATTTACCTTAAGCATACAGATCTTTCAAATGAATATTCATGCACTGATATTATACATAATCTGTGTGAGATTTTTCATAAACTAATATCTATAAACAGCCGCCTTCCCTCAGTTTGCTATAAAGAATAAAAGGGAATATCCAATTACCTTTGACCTCAGTTACATGATCCTAGATCACCCGTCATCATCTTGTCTTTACTGGCAGCAGGAACACACTGATCCAACAGGGATTTGACAAAGTCACAATTCCTGATTCTGGATTCCTGTCACTCCAGTGCCTAATCCATACATCCCTCAAAACAATTCACTTCGCTCGCATACTTGTTCATTCAATTAGCTTAGATGCTTATTTTTAATAATAAAGTATAATTTCTCTATTCTGATTTAGATTTTATATATAAATAGGGTTAGTTCTGTTGAATGATATCTATACCCACAGTAATTAAAACAACAAATTTGTCTCAGTTCATGTATGGAACACTGTTGCCTCCTAATGGACAAAAGATGTATGATAAACTGTATTTCAATCATGTCTTTGCACAAAAACTACTGTTATGATACACTAAAATAATAACTATATGATATAGAATTGTAACCTTTTTACTTACAAATATTAAGTCTCATTCAACTTGACTAAAATCAAAACTCACCAAAGATTTATTACATGGATTTTAATGTAAACTTTTATTAAAGTACAAAGCAATATCTAAGGCACATTTTAGTTTAAACACCAGGGTTAAACTGAGGTAGAAATGATTTGTTATGAAATAAATACAGTACATCATATATCAAGTCAAGTCAAGTCAAGTCACCTTTATTTATATAGCGCTTTTAACAATACAGATTGTGTCAAAGCAACTGAACAGCATTAATTAGGAAAATAGTGTGTCAATAATGCAAAATGACAATAGTAAACACTAATTTTCCAGTTAAAGACAGTTCATCATTGAATCAGTGATGTCTTGGTGGCTGGAACAATAGTTCTGCCCAGACGATAACGCGGAGCGATATAGTTAATATATCAAGGGGGGAAAATAAATACATTTCAAAAGTTAATTTGTGACCCTGGACCACAAAACCAGTCATAAGGGTCAATTTTTGGCTATTGCTACAAATATACCCCAGCGACTTAAGACTGGTTTTGTGGTCCAGGGTCACATTTGTTCAGACGAATTACAGCGCAGTTCAAGAAAAAAAAAAAAAAAAGATTCTATTTTGCAGTGTTCAAATTTAATAAGTTTTAAAAAAACTATTTATTTTATCAGTGTAACATTTTACGTTACAGTGTTTTGTTGCTTTACATTTTTTAAATGATAAAACTTTATTTTTCTCTAGGTTTAAATCAGATTTTGACTACTAGATTTTCAGTGTGGTTCTAGACTGTTGGACCCCACAGTACATAACAGCACACCTTGACAAACAAAGTATTTAAGCATGAATTTTTTTGTTCAGGCCTGCAGATGTTTTTTTTTTTTTTAAACAGAGTATGTATATTCTGCATGAAAGTTCTATAAGATAAACAAGAAGCAAACTTGAGTTGATCCGTTCCTCCACCACAACACCGTTGCCTGACAACGCTGGGTGCAAAATAAAAGTAGCCTCTTTGTTTCCCTTATCCCTCACCCCTCCAACTCTTTCTCATTCTAATTTGGGCCAAATCCAGCTTTACGCCTTAATTTGAATATTTTTGCCTTCGAAAAACTCATTCCCAGACTCCAAACAGTTTCAGGTAAACAGGCCAGTTATGCAAAGCCATACAGTACTGGATCTTAGAGGAATGTCAGCTAAGTGGTAGATTATCCTCAGCAGTGAATTCATTTGTGGGAAAAACTCATTTAGTATGAGTTTGATTTGATTTGTAGGACTTTTAATATAAAAAAGCATCGCAATTCGCATTGCAATTCTCATAATAAATGCACTAAAATAAAACTATTTTAATTTTACAACTTATATTAATAAATACCTATTGGTTCTACAGTATATAACTAAGCAAATATGCTTAGTAAAATCTTTTCAAAATAGTTTTCAGTCTTTTTTCTTCAGTTGCCTTTGCACAGCTCCTCTCATAAGAACTGCAGTCAGAACACTGCACAGCACCAACAAGAAGAACGATCCTCCAGCCAGCATAATGAAATGTTCTCCATGCACATCTACAACAGACTGCCGATGCACCAGAAAGTCTCTAAACATTGCTTCCAGCTGGCACATAGTACACATAGCCAGGAAGATATGGAAGATCTGATGTCCATGGCCCACAATGTCACATCTCCCTGGAAAGAAGCGCTCAGGAACAGGACAAGAGAAAAACAGAGCCGCTAACATGAAAAACACCACTTGCAGGGCATGAATCACCAACACCGGCTCGTCCCAAGATCTGGTGACCAGGCGGTGTGCTACGGGGCTAATGTCGAGCATGTACGCCAGGCTGGTGGGAATGATCTGGCAGATCTTCCGGCGGAGCGGGTACGGGCGTTGGTAACGGAATTTGGCGTAGCAGCAGCTGGTGCAGGACAACCAGGCCAGGACCGCGGCACCAGGCAGAAACACAACACCCACTAGGCTGTGCCTCCATACTGGCTCTGAACAGTAAAAATAGTGGCCTAGTGAGCAGCCATACTGGTAAATAGCTACACCAACGTAGTCTACGAAGAAAAGGGAGTAATGGGCCAGTTCAGAGTGTGACTGCAGCAGATGGGCGGCCACGCTGAAACTTAGGTATGTAAGTGATGACAACATGTACAAAAACAGAGGCAAAGATGCCACGTTGAGTGTCAGCCCCCATGTCCCTGCAAATAAAGAAAACTGGAGTAGAATGGCAGGGATTGCCAGCAGGTGTGTCCATACATTGAGCGACTCATTGTGGCATTGAAAGAGGCTACAAAAGTAGCTCCGCCATTCCTGATGCACCGGACGATAGCCCGACAAGATATAGGGCTCACGAAAGAGGCTCGGCACATTAGAGGCGAGTACGGTGGCTTGAGGTAAAGGTAGACGGGGCAACCAGTTCGACAAGTGTGGCAATTGACCCAGCTGCTGTATACTCAAAGTCAGCGTACTCAGACGGGCCAAAACTCCGCTTGACATGGTGAAACTCTGGATCAGTGTCAAAAAATGAGCTGCAACGAGAAGCAGAAAACAGCACGAGGATAAATTATATTGACAAATCAGCATGCCATGATTCAGAACTCTGCCAGACAAAGCCGATTCTTGCTGAACTAAACCTCTTACGCTTGATAAGTTAATAACTGGCCAGGCTGAATTGATCATTGTATACTCACATTGTGCTCCAAACCAGCATTCTATATTCTAAAACACTGAAAATGCTGTCTAGATAGGGAGCTCACTATGTTTTGAGACAGCCATTATCTTCATTCTTTGATTATCCTAGTATGACACCCTTAGTATTATCTACTGCTACCACACCTTACTTCACTATATATAGCAGTTAAAGCAGACAAGGATTTTAACCAGTTTGCAAAACTTGTTTAGATTTATAGATAATAAGCACATAAAATCAAAGAGAAGAAAATTATACTTTTAATCATGCCTGATCAGGTAGAGAGCGCAAGCGTATGTGACATTTCATACACCAGAAAACGCCGGAAACTATCTGTATGCGTGGAAAAAAATAAGAAAATCCTTACTTCCTATTTTTAATATTTTAAAAATAGCCTAGTTATCGTTCCTAATATATTAGCAGCTCCTCACCTGTGCGGAACCGGATCAAAGTCAATCTTCGTTCTTCTCAGTTATTTTTTTAAAAGATATAAGGGGTTTCATATCGACCCAAAGACCTCAGACTTTTTGCATTTTTCCCTTGGCAACTGCGCTGTGCCTGTGCCTGTCAAAAGTGTCCACAGAGGGAACTGTTGTGCTACCGGCTCCGTGAATCTGGGCGGGGTTACAAATAACTCAAATGACTCAGTTCGGTTCACACGCAGACATCACTCAGTTCACTGTTCGAATAAGCAAAATGATCAAGGATAAGAAAAAAGGATACAACTTCAAAAACACTACATTGTACAGTAGCCTAGATGATTATAAAATCCATTATAAAATCCAATAGTATTGTGATATCTGAACAATCGTTTTCTTAAAAAATTAATTGTCCAACAGAATGCTTGATTGAAATGAAAAGCAATACAATTCAAAAATAAAAAATAGACAACACATTACGGTACGTATATTCGCCGCTAGATGGCATTAAACATTGATAATAGAAAATATGTTCATCTTGAAGTCTCTACTTGCATTAGATTTTCTCAAATTGAAGAAATTGCACGTGTTCTGGAAATGTACACAATTACAAGCATTTTGGAACATTATTGTACAATTCATATCAGTTATCATCAGCTATCAGAAAATATATATAGGAGATTGTAGATTTAAAGGAGAGAAAATGTTAGGTAGAATCACAAGTCACCGTTCATTTCATTGCATCTTTTCTGTACAGTGTATGTGAATGGTGATTGAAGCTGTCGTTCTGTCTAACATCTGCTTTGAAAGTAAGAAAACTATTTATTATTATACTTGCAACTATAAATCTTTTAGGCCTGTATTTAAAAATGCGAAATAGCCTTAAACAGAACTAATGCCTCCACCGAAACATACTGTCTGAGTGGGGGCATTAACTTTAAAGTGCATCGACATATTTGTTGTCGGCAACTACCATTATTACACGCTACAACAGCACCTCCGCAAACGCTGTATTTGTTGTGAGCGCATGCGCAGCACCACCACTCTTTTCGCGCGAAACACTCAAGCGGGCCTGGCGAATCTTCATTCTGTGGATTTGATTGGACGCCGCATCCCAGGAGACGGAATATGTTGATAAGTCAGCGGTGTGTCGTCCAATCAGCACTCGGATTCCACAGCGAGAGAAGCCTGGTGGCGCGAAAAGACACACACCAGTGCAGAGTGCGACACGAGGTGTTGTGCATTGACCATTTCTCAACGCTTTTAAAAGCTATACAGAAAAAAAATGGCTGTTGAATTTGTGGACGATCAGGAAATGAGGGAGGCGCAGAGGGATTATCTGGATTTTCTTGACGATGATGTAAGTATAACGCATTTATTATATGTTTATTAACTGTTAAATTACTGAAGTTCGTGTGAGTTATAGGAACAAAGGCCCTGAACAAAGGTATGAAGCATAATGTAAATTATTTAAAAAGGTTTTTGTTTGTTGACAACTTTATTTGCGTTTTTACCTTTTCCCAGCAAGACCAGGGCATTTATCAGAGCAAAGTACGACAGATGATCAGTGAAAACAAATCCAGGCTCATTGTGAACCTCAACGACCTCCGCCGCCGCAACGAACAGCGTGCAGCCAAGTATGTTTAGCCTTATTTTACACGTACACTTTACAGTACAGTGTACACATGCATAAATTGTGAGCATGTTTTCTATGAATTGAGCAATCTCTGGTCCCCAGGCTGCTGAATAATGCTTTTGAAGAGCTCCTGGCGTTCCAGCGTGCTCTCAAAGATCTGGTGGCTTCAATAGATGCCACTTATGCCAAGCAACACGAAGAGTTCTTCATCGGTCTGGAGGGCAGCTTCGGCAGCAAACACGTCTCCCCTCGAACCCTCACCTCTCGCCTGTTGGGTAGCATGGTGTGTTTGGAGGGCATCGTGACCAAATGTAGGTCCCACCTTATTTTTGAACATTAAAGCATCTCAACATATTCTGTTACACCAAATACACAAAATAATGATCTTTAAAATAGCATCATATGACCCCTTTAAAGAATTCATATGTTGCATGGATGGTGCGTTGATAAAATTTTCTCTTTCTATTCACAGGCTCTTTGGTGCGTCCCAAAGTAGTACGCAGTGTGCACTACTGTCCAGCCACTAAGAAGACTATGGAGCGCAAATACACTGATATGACCTCTCTGGATGCCTTTCCTTCAAGTGCCATTTACCCCACCAAGGTACTATGTTCCACCTCACCACTTGTGGTGCTTTTCCACTGCGTGGTACGACTCGGCACGGCTCAGTATGGCACGGTTAACCTACCAACCCACATACAAACACCCTTGATTCTTGTACCCGCTTAGAGTCTTCGTTCCATCCTTCGCTGGCTGTGCTGATTTAAACCTCCCAAAAGTGAACCGTACCGAGCCGTACCATGCAGTGGAAAAGCGCCATTAAATTAGTGGAATAGCACATAGGTATTGAGGACAAGCATTTTGATGCCCCAAATTTGATGATGACCTTGCAAGGAACCCCTTTCTAAAATACATAGTCGCCTGTGTATTTATAGATACGTATTATTAGGAAATCGCAACGTCTCAAATCGCGATTTCGATTCGATTTCGATTAATCGCACAGCCCTAATTTAGAGTCTGTGAGAGAAATAATGAGTGATTTTGTGCAGACAGCAGTTTTTTACTCTAAACTTTACTGTAGCACCCTTTTGGACCCCTGTTTGATAATCCCTGGTCTAGATGGTTCATAAATGCTTTCTTTAATGTTCTCACTCTATATTTGATCCATTCAGGATGAGGAGAACAATCCACTGGAGACTGAGTTCGGTCTGTCCATCTATAAGGACCACCAGACCATCACAGTGCAGGAGATGCCGGAGAAAGCCCCTGCCGGTCAGCTGCCCCGCTCTGTGGACATCATCCTGGACAATGACTTGGTGGACGCTGTAAAGCCAGGGGACCGTACGCAGGTGATCGGCACCTACCGCTGCCTGCCTGGCAAGAAGGGCGGATTCACCTCGGGCACCTTCAGGTAAAGCTGTTTTGGAATATCATAAGTGTAAAATCAGTTTTATTGTAGAATTGTTATTTAAAATGTATAAATATATATAATATTATTTGTTACAGCTTTGATAAGGTTTGTTCCCCATGTGTGTTTGTTCAGGACCATCATGATCGCCTGCCACGTCAAACAGATGAGCAAAGAAGTCTCTCACTACTTCTCTGCAGATGATGTGGCCAAGATCAAGAGCTTCTGCAGAACTCGCTCTAAGGTAAGAGGATGGAATGTGTCCAGGATTTGGACATGTAACCTTTGTGCACATGCCTATTGCATCACTAATTTGGACACAAGTGTTTTGTAAAGTTATGTTCTCTTAATATGAACGCTTTATTTGTCTTTCTACTCCTGTAGAATTCGTTTGATCAGTTGGCTCGCTCCCTGGCCCCCAGCATTCATGGTCATGAGTATATAAAGAAGGCGATCCTGTGTATGCTTCTGGGAGGGGTGGAGAAGGTTTTGGAGAACGGCTCACGCATTAGAGGAGACATCAATGTGCTTCTCATAGGTATTTACTTGCTTAGATTAGCACAGGCAATGTTATAATATAGTGAGAAACATTTAGGATAAAATTAATAGTTCATATTTACAAATTCTGTGCTTAGGTATTTACTTGCTTAGATTAGCACAGGCAATGTTATAATATAATGAGAAACATTTAGGATAAAATTAATAGTTCATATTTACAAATTCTGTGCTGGACATCAGTTTTAGAACTCAGTTTGAGTTTTTTTTTGTTGTTGCTATTTTATGTAGATATCTATCGAAATTACTTATTAATTTTGATGTCATATAAACTTTATAAGTAAGCTTTAGGTTGTAATGACTTTGAGGATCTAAACAGTTTGATGTCCCAAATTTGATAATCACTTGCAAGTACCCCTTCCTAAAATATAAAAGCTCTTTTCATACAAGTGGTAATAGTGATATAATAATGTTAAATTATTATTACTATTTAGTTAGCATTACTAGTAATAATAAATTATTATTACTAGAAAAAAAAGTAAAAATAGTTTTTAATTATTATTTTTAATAATAATAATAATTACAATATTTTAAAATAGAATTATAACAGAATTTACATTTATTTTTTAGCAGCCCTCTTGATTTTTATTTTATTGTATTTTTTTGGGGGGGGGCTTTTCTGTAGAGAGTGATTTATTATTATTATTATTTGAACATTTTAAATAGGGCAGTAAAATGACATAAGATAAAATAACTTTTCAGTGCTTTAATTACGTTTTTGGGTGCTGTTCTTTACAGACCCAGCAGATGGCACTGTTTATCCATTTACTGGGTTTTAAAACGATAACTGATTAGGGTGGGTTTTTCTGAAGAGAGTGATTTATTATTATTATTATTTGAACATTTTAAATAGGGCAGTAAAATGACATAAGATAAAATAACTTTTCAGTGCTTTAATGACGTTTTTGGGTGCTGTTCTTTACAGACCCAGCAGATGGCACTGTTTATCAATTTACTGGGTTTTAAAACGATAACTGATTAAGACCAGTGTAAATATCAGTTTGTTTGTAAATGTGTATACTGATTATGAGGGAAAATCTGTGGTATGGATTATAACAAAAATATATTAGTCTGATAAAGTATTATTGAGAGTATTATACTCTAATTGGTAGTTTCAAACATAATCAATTTACATAAAATGCTTAGTAAATGAACACGTGTTTAAATTCAGCATAAATCTCTATGTTTCTCAGGTGACCCCTCAGTGGCCAAGTCTCAGCTGCTCCGGTACGTTCTGCACACTGCTCCTCGTGCCATTCCCACCACAGGCCGAGGCTCTTCGGGTGTAGGTCTGACTGCAGCCGTCACCACTGACCAAGAGACAGGTACTGCATTTCACACGCTCCGTCAACACAAGAAACCAGAGGTTCATTAATAACAGCTTTGCGTATTTTGGTTATTCTCTTAATATTAAGTTGTGTCTGTCTCTCAGGCGAGCGACGTCTCGAGGCTGGTGCCATGGTTTTAGGGGATCGCGGTGTGGTCTGCATTGATGAATTTGACAAAATGTCAGATATGGATCGCACTGCTATCCATGAGGTCATGGAACAGGGCCGCGTCACCATCGCCAAGGCTGGCATCCACGCTCGACTGAACGCCCGCTGCAGCGTCCTGGCAGCTGCCAACCCCGTATATGGCCGAGTAAGTGCTTCATTTGGTGTTCGTAAAATGGCTTGCATCATTTCATAATGCTATTCTTAATAAATGTCCAGTTGAGTTCAGGCAATCGTTAGCAATTTAAGAAAAACACTTAAGCAAAACATGGTCAGGTCAAAGTGTCTGAATAATTTTTGGTCTCAAATTTTTATCAATTTTACTGGTAGTCCACTGTATGAAGAATTTTTGGGTATAATATGTCACAGTTTACTTTATTTTGCTATCCTCACTTACATAAATGAACTATAGTGTCCTGCACCCACTAGTAAAAAGATATAAAAAATTATATCTGGTATCTGAATAATTTTTGGTTTGACTGGATTTGATGCAAATAGAAACTAGTCATTACTAGTCTTTTCCTTAAAGTTCACATTCTATTTTTTTAATTAGCCTGCGTCTTTTCATTGTTTCTCTCTCTTTGTCTGCAGTATGATCAGTATAAGACCCCCATGGAGAACATCGGTCTGCAGGACTCCCTGCTGTCTCGTTTTGATTTGCTCTTCATCATGCTGGATCAGATGGACCCAGAGCAGGACCGTGAGATCTCTGACCACGTCTTGCGCATGCACCGCTACAGAGATCCTCATGAGCAGGATGGAGCAGGTACCAGCTGATAGAGAGTACTTTTTTACTAGATATTTTGTGTTAGGTGTGCCATTTCTGTGCAGTCAGTGTCATCAGATAGAGTTGCTGAAAGATGGAATAACAAAGTTTTTTAACGTTTGTGTTTCAGCTCTTGCTCTTGGTGGTGCAATCGATGCACTGGCCACTGAAGACCCTGATGTAACTCAGGAGGAAGAAGAGGAGCTGCAAGTGTACGAAAAACACAATCTACTCCTCCATGGCAGCAAAAAACTCAAGTAAGGAGAAGTGCCCACTTCATTTACTCTACCTTCTGTGCTTTTTTCTCTAATACAAATGACAATATAATTATAAAGTTACACACAGCTAAATGCTTTTTAGGGACCGAGTGGTGAGTAAAGCCTTCATGAGGAAGTACATCCACGTTGCCAAGGCTCTTTCTCCTGTTCTGACTCAAGATGCAGCCAATCACATTGCAGAGGAGTACTCACGACTGCGCAACCAGGAGCAGCTCGGCTCTGACATTGCACGGGTAAATACAGACGCATTTACAAACTCAACAAGCTTATGAGTTGGTTTCCTGGTCAGGTATTGTAAAGAGTTGGTAAAAGTTCTTATGCTATCAGATAACGAATTAGATGAATCTGTGCTGTGTTTTGTCCTCAGACGTCACCAGTCACTGCTAGAACCCTGGAGACTTTGATCCGTCTTTCTACAGCTCACGCCAAAGCTCGAATGAGCAAAGTTGTGGAACTGGTGGACACAGACGTTGCTGTGGAGCTTGTGCAGTTTGCCTATTTCAAGAAGGTATGTTTGTTTACATTGTAGCTCATTTGTCACACTTGTTTACTAGTTCAGTAATATGTTATTACATCTATGCTTGAGATTGTGTTATATTTTAAAAATTGGTGGGTTTTTGTTAAATGTGAGCCAAAATCATCACAATTAAAAGAACCAAAGACTTAAACTACTTCAGTCTGTGTGCATTGAATTTATTTAATACACGAGTTTCACAATTTGAGTTGAATTACTGAAATAAATTAACTTTTCCACGACATTCTAATTTATTGAGATGCACCTGTATATAGCATTTATAGATCTCTACTTATTAATTTGTTGTACTTATGTTGCACTTTAGTTAATTTCATATCTATTAAATGAGTATATTCGACCCTTATTCCCCATTCATCAGGTTTTGGAGAAGGAACGTAAACGCTCTAGAAATGGAGAGCAAGATGCAGCATCAGAGGAGGAGGAGGAGGAAGATGAAGTACAAGACACACCTCGAACACAGAGAAAAAGGTCTAGTGTTATTCCAGAATCATTGTTTATGAATTTTCCAAGACACTACTGTTAAAAAGTTTGGAGACTGCTGATTTTTTTTTAATGTTCTTGAAACAAGTCACATGACTATAAACACAGTAAAAACAATCATATTCTGAGATCTTATTACAATTTTAAATAAAAATTCTGTTTTTAAATATCTTTAAATGCAATTTTTTCCTGTGATGGAAAAGCGGAATTTTCTGAGTGAGTTTTCTCCTCTTTGTCCTGTAGGAGGCGCCATTCTGAGCGCAGAGCATCTCAGGGCAGCGAGCAATATGACCCATATGACTTTAATACTGAGACTGATGTACCACAAAGTAAGCTAAACCAACAACAAACATTCTATATACAAGTTATATTGAATGGGTTAAATTTGTTCTTAATGATTTTTAAAGTAAATACAACATCATTATTGAAAAATGATGATTGAAAGGTTTTTTTTTTTGTTTTGTTTTTTTTTACACATATGTATTATAATAGAAACTATATTGATACAGTTGATTGATGCATTTAAATTCTAAATCATTTTGAAAAATCATTGTTTTTCGAAAAAACTTTTTAAGTAACTTGAATAAATATAAATAACTAATCAAAAATATAATAAATTACATTGTATTTTAATTGAATTAGAGGATCACTTTTCATCATAATGCACATAAAATTCACATTCAATTGATAAATATATATATATTTTTTTCTCTCAGTTCAGTCCCCTGCTCCTGCGAGGCAGGATGAGGAGCCAATAGACGCTCCTGATCAGAACGGTCACACAGAGTTGTCTGATGGCAGGTAAGCATTCAGGGTTCGTCTGCTGAGATTTTTGGTATATACACAGCATTTTTAAAGGGTCGTCACATTCTTTGGAAGTACTGTTTCTGATTCAGTTCTAAACCGAAACTGCATCGCTTGCAGGATGGCTGATTGTTTCGGATGCTGCATGTCTGACGCACCGTGTGTGTTTTTGCTTTAGGTTGAAGGAGTTCAAAACCGCATTGCTGGAGGTGTTCCGCTCTTCTCATGCTCAGTCAGTTGGCATGATCGCTTTGATGGAAGGCATCAACAAGAGCTGTCCATCACCCTTTAAAGAAACTGAGGTCCGTGCTGCCCTCAGCCGAATGCAGGACGACAACCAGGTTATGGTTGCCGACGACATCATCTTCCTTATATAAATGTGTTTTTTGGAGAATAAGAGAAATGAAAAAGTGTAGATCTATTTCAGAAGATTTGCAATATGTGTGCAATGTTTATTTCCATACTTTTGTACATGCAAACACATGCATGTATTTCTTAACATTTTCATTCACTCAAGACATTTTCATTAGATTTTTCTTACTGTAATTTTTTTTCACATGCTTGTTACATGCATACAAATGCATGAATTAAAAAAAGCAACAATTCCGTTTGATTCTTGCCAAGACATTTTTAGTTGTTTGTTTTTCTCTCTATAACATTTGTTTGTTTATTAGCATTCTTAGACTTGGTTAATATTCTTCAGAAATTTGCCTTTTCTTATGGTTTTATATTTTTCTTAAGAACAACTTGGACCAGTGTCTGCAGATTATTTTATTTTATTCGTTTTACAACTTGTAAATACTGATTTATTGTTTAAAAAATGTTAAACAACTGAAAATGTAAAAAAAACAAAACAAAAAAACAACTGGTGTCAGAATAATGTTCAGTAATATACTTCAGAATACAGTTGTTCAGTTAGAGTTGTGGCCTAGTACTCCACACACATTGAGATGTGGTGCTCAAGCAGGAGATACAGGTTTCAATCTCCCCCCCTCAATATTGTTTCTGTCCTGTCTATTCTGCCTCTGTCAATAAAAAGTGACCAAAAGATTTTCTCATTGACTTAATTGTATTTTTCTACACTATAGGTAATATACAAAAAGACTAATGATCAAAATCTAGCTTTACATAAATCTCTGCTCTTTTGCGTAACACCAAAAAGCCACATAACCTCAAACTAGTCATGCATTAGACATTCCCAGTCATTACAGTTACTGTTTGCCCTCATTGCCCTTTCAGTCTAGTGTGGGTAGAGTCTGTATTATTATGACTGGATTGTCTCATAGATGTAGAGCAAATGATGATTTAAATGCAAAGTACAGCTCCTCATTTATAAACTTTTCTGCTCGAGCTGCTTCAAGATGCATCTTTTTACTGTCCCGCTTCCCGGTTCTTTAAAACTGGTGACTGTAACCTTTATGTTTGTGTGCGAGCTGGAGAAACCCTAGTAAGTGGGCAATACAATCCTGTGATCATTTACTTTGTCGTTCCAAAGCCATATTTCTATATATATATATATATATATATATATATATAACAAACTGACTCCTATTATACAGTATAGGGACAAAAAGACAGGAGACAGGTTTGAAATGACATGCGGGTAAGTAAATGGCAGAATTTACATTTTTGCAACTTTTTGCAACGGGTTCTTATGCCGTTAAACATTAACCATACCATACCATACCATGTTTTTCCTCATCTGCTTGTGATGTTCTAAGAATGACTCAGGAGAGGTTATCATATGCTCGTGGTTGTGCTAGTGTTGGCTGCTGGAACGTACTGTTTCAAGAACCAAGTCAGCACTTCAGTGACCTAAATTTAAATTAGTGGGGGAGTATAAGAACATTGTGTAGGGCTACAAGTGTCAGTTGGTGTATCTGGGGCAAATTTAACACTGATTCACCAACTGTAACCCTTTCACGAGTGTTCTTGATGAGCACTAACGCTTTAGAGTTACCGCTTTAGGGCTGTGTTAACATAAATATAGCAGTTCACAAGAAGTTACAATAATCTTACAGCATTATTAATAACATTAATGTTACTTCCTGTTGAATTCAACAGAAAATAACACTATTAGAATGATAAATAATTATTTATATTTATCTATTTTAATTCATATTTTAAAATAACCTACAGTTTATTCCTGTAATAGTAAAGCTCAATTTTCAGCAGCCAATCCAGTCTTCAGTGTCACATGATCCTTCAGAAATCATTCTAAGCTGATTTGCATATATATATATAAATAAATAATAATCATCTTCACTGTTACATTTAACAAATTTAATGCATCATTACTGAATAAATGTATTGTAAACTTGCTGACCCAAACTTTTGAAAAGATTTTAACATTCCAAGTTGTATAAATAAACATTAGTTCAAATATTACAAAGACTGCATTTATAAATCAACATTAACCCAGATTAATACATAAAAAATGTTGTTCATGATACCTGATTCATTAACTAACGTTAACAAATTGAACCTTACTCTAAGGATTTAATGTGTTAATTTGACTGTGTTGCTGATGAAACTGCTCTAAACACGTAGAAAGAAGAGACCTCATGGGGTTTTATACGGAGGTTATGTTGTGTAACAAAATATAAGACATGGATCATTTAAATTTGAATTCAGATGATTACAAAAATGGAAAAATGTTCCCAATTATTTTGTGAAGGTCTCCCTACATTGGTCAGAAAGATTATCAGTTGAGAAACATTACGATCTAAACAGGAAGGCTAGACACACTTATTTAAACATCTTAGGTTTTTTATGTGCATGGCCACAATCAGCATGATGGACACATGTATATGCATGCGATCACATGTATATGGTTCACTTTGTCTCACATTATCAGCAAAAAACCCATCTTTCAGAACCCAATCAACATATCCTGTCAAGGCTGCTGACCCATATAAAATGCATCTCAGTGCACTGCTGGTGTACAAATTTGTTATTCAGAAGTCCGCTGATGTGTATGTGGGTGAAACGTGAGAGCGTGGGAGGGCACAGAATTAAGTGTCCAATTAAACATATAGTGAAACAGAAGAACATCTAATGAACAGCCTTCTAGCCCAACTTTCAGATTACATGTGAAAAAAAAAATATATATATATGAATTGATATTGTAAACAGACATGCACTGCAGGTTGGTCTTCATTGTCAGTGAGTTCAATGATCTCAAGATGACTATCTATAGTACTCTAGATTTGTCTCTTATCTACGTCAAGATCAGGAAGTTTGAGGCTTTCTCACCAGTCTATATAAATAGAAGATTAGATGCAGGGCTCAGACACTTGCTGGACCAGCTCTGAAGAGCCATCAGGGAACTTACATTTTTATTCAGAAGATGCAGCTCTCATTGGTGAGTTTGTCACACCAATTAATTAAACTCTAATGATGTTGTTGTTTTTTATTTTAGGCAAGTGTAAGCAAGAAATAATCTACTTGAATTTGAAATTTGACTTGCAGGACAAAAGTTTGCAAAGGCTTGCTCTTGTTGATTCTGAATCTTTTGATGAACTTTTGGGATTTGCACCCATTCATTTTTCTGATGTTTCACTTTAACTGACATTGAATTCAACAACCCAGTATAGGCTATCTCAACAGAAATGTCATTGTCGTAAAATGTCTAAAGCGACCTAAAAATTCATTTCATTTAATTTCATTTACCTGAATTTTGTTTAGGTAAATGAACAATATGAAAACAAACCATTCAACCACTCTTGATCTCCATCTCCTCAGGTTTTCAGAGCTGTGCTGCTGCTTTTCCTGCTTGCCCTGTTACTAAATGGTGCTTCTTCTGAGAAAAAGTCTAAAAGAAAAAGAAAACCGAAGTGTCAAAAGAAAGGAAAGTGGGTAACCTTGGATCCATCTCTGAACCTCTCAATGAATGTCCCCCCGTCTCCAAGCAGATCTTTGTCACCATGGACATACGAGTGAGTCTTTGATCTGATAAATCGTTACAGTTGTTCACTTTAATCTCATATGTGTGATATGCAGAGGATCTTGTGTATCATACATGAATTGTTACAATTTGAGGTTGTTTTGAGTAGTTTGGCTAATCTTACTTTTTTATAACGGAATTTTTATCAATCTTTCAATTCAGAGAATCCTATGACAATTCACGAATCCCATCCAAAATCTCTGAGGCGAAATGTGAAAAAACAGGCTGTTTAACCAAAGATAGTGAGGAAGACTTGGGACTGGAATCTAAACCCATCTACTACCAGATCAACGTCTTGAAGAGAGTGAAGAAAAAAAATGCTCCGCACTACACCCTTCAGCTGGAGGCTAAAATAATTAGTCTAGGCTGTACATGCGTTCTACCCGTCGTTGTGCCTCAGAATTAGTTCTGTACTCTTACTGTATTATATCTATATTGTTGTATTAATCTGCTTATATGTACAGCAAACTTCTGTGCCACTCTTTTGATCAGCTTTATATTTATTATCTTGATTAATAAAATATATTGTAACATTTTCTTTTTAGTTTTGCTTTATAATAGTCTGTGAGTGCAATAATTGTATGAATGATACAAGTTAAAACGCAAAAAAATCTGTGCCACTCTTTTGATCAGCTTTATATTTATTATCTTGATTAATAAAATATATTGTAACATTTTCTTTTTAGTTTTGCTTTATAATAGTCTGTTTGAGTGCAATAATTGTATGAATGATACAAGTTAAAACGCAAAAAACCCCCGAAAATCTTTGGTTTAGTTAAGAGAAGCATTTATTTGACTTGAACTAGAGAATTTAGTCATCTGGAAATTACAAACACAGGGAGCATTTACATTCCATTTTCTCAGCAAATCTGGTCGATTAACAACAATTCTCATCATTGCACATAGAACGGCTCTTTTTTTGATGATGCAGACACCAACATCAAACTCCTTTGTCTTCGTATAGAACGAGTAAAATAAATGACTAGAATAAAGCTCAGTGACATGCCAAAGCAAAGTGCACCATTCATATCTAAAACCATTTCCCAAATCCAAAGAGGATCTTTTTCTCACACCTGAGTGATATCATTCTTCATTTCTGAGATGCCACTATGTGTTTTCCTACTGATGAGCATCATAATACAAATATAATGATAGAAAAAAAGCTAAATGTGCTTCTGAGTTGTGCTTAAAGTGTCACTGTGCTCCACTTTTAATGTATCTGAGAGGGTTGTGAGCTTTCGGATTTATAGGCATCTAGAATGTTCTAATCTAATATTCATTTGATCATATTTTTACTTCACATCGTCACAACAGGAAATGTAATAGATAAACCTCTAGCCACCTGATTACTGATGCTTAATAATGTATATTGTATAGGCATGCCTGAGGTTCTATGAAACCCTATTGATTATTGAATATTAATATCAAACGATAATTAAAGAAGCATGAGCCAAAGCCTCAGTAGATGGCACATGTTTTGGGAAAAATATCCTTTTGTGGTACTGCTATTAGTGAAGAGTGACTTTAAGATGTAGTTTATGTTAACATATTCATCTGTACTGGTTATGGAGGTTATAAAAAGCATCTATTCATCAATATTTCTTCCTGTCCTCTTCATGTCATTTCTAAAGATCGGTTTGGTATATTCATTCTTTTTCTCTGAAGCAACGTTCTGGGCTCTACCAAGTAACGTACTCTTTGTGCACCTTGCATTGCCATCTAGAAAATATCTTTCTGTTTTTAATAATATTAAGTAGTTTTGATGTTGTTAAACCCCACAAAAGCGTGGTGTGTTGCAAATGGTCATTATCAATGTCCAATATGTTCCCTTTTTTTAGATGTATTGGCTACCGTTTGCTATATTTTCTCTTCACTGGTTTGATCTCCTTGACTAAAGTCAAAGCAGTCTTCTACCGACAGGCCTCCTCTTTCAGCTCTTTGTTCTTCCTCACCTCCTCTGCGTGTTTGTCCTAAATAGACACACAAAAGAAAACTTACTCCACCTGTGTTCATGCATGTATTAGTGTGCCTGAGGGAAGCTAAATACAGCGGCATAAACAAACTGGAGAAACAATCCACCCCTTTCTAATGCAATATTCATACTCATTCTATAATTAGACTGGGAAGGGACTCAGATGCACAAAGGCCAGGAACCCACTGAATGTGTAATTGTCACAAAAATTCGGGACACTTTATTATTATGATTATTTTATAATCTATAAATATTTTTAAATATAATATTATAATTTAATTGAAATAGAATAGTAATTTAAATATAATATAAAATATATATTTTAAATATAATATTTTATATTTTGTTCTATATATTATAAATACTTATACATATATCTTTAGAGAAATTATTACTTTTATTCAGTAGATGCATTAAATTGAACAAAATAGACAGTAAAGACATTTATAATGTTATTTTTTTTAAAACCTAATAAATGCTGTGTTTCTTTTTAATTTTTTTAATGAAATTAAAAATGTTTCTTGAGCAGTAAACCATGTGACACTTAAGACTGGAGTAATGGAAAATTCACAGGAATAAGTTAAAACCTGTTATTTTAAATGGCAATAATATTTCAAAATATTACTATTTTTACTATGTACTAGTTCTATTTTTTATATTTTTACTATTTTTATTATTTTACAATAAAAAAGCAGCCTTGGTGAGCAAATATTATTTTTACTATTAACTACTACTATTTTTAAAAACATTTTTACTAAAAAAAAAAGAAAAGAAAAAAAGGCAGCCTAGGTAAGCGTAAGATACGTTAAACTTTTTTTTTTTTTTTTTAAATCCTATAAAACCCAAACTTTGGATTGGTATTGAATTTATATGAAAAATTATATGTATGAAGGTAAAAGAAAAAAAAAAAGTTTCCATATTTGATTGTAGGCCTAATTATATTTTTTAAGAGTAACAACGTTCTTAGTAAAGTTGAATGTTTTAGCTATGCATAGTCAAATTAAATAAATTTTCATTAGAAATAATCTTTAAATAATTTATTTTTATTGTTTAAAAAATAAAGCAATTCACATTGACTAAGTGCTGTAATAAAGTACTTTACATCCCTTTCAGTTAGTTCGTACCTTTTCCTGTAGTCTCTCCAGCATGGCGGCAAGCAAAGCCTCGCGGTTCTCTTTGTTGGCCTCCATCTTCTGCTCCAACTTCTCTTTAGCATACTTAATGAAGTTGTTGTTCTCCTCAAAGGCCTTCTGGATGACCTCTCTCTCATGCTCCCTCTTCTCTGCAAGATGCTTTAACATCTCAGCCTCCTGAAACTGGAGAGAAGAATACTGTTTCAGCATCAAAATCAGACCAAAGAGAGGGATGGTTTGGGTGTAAATTCCAACCTTCCGCCTCTCCTCAGCGGCTTCCAGTTTCTTCTGGATCTCCTCCAGAGAGGGGTCCTTACGCTGGGGCATAGATGTGTTAAGCTCAGGCACGCCGTCAAAAGAGGGGGGTTTCAGGATCACCTCAAATGCTTGGCCCGAGGCCCGCTTGTTCAGCTCGATGACCTCCATATCTTTGATCACACACCAGTTGAGATCCACTGCATCTTCAAGAATGAACACACATAGAGTACTGTGTGAATCTGTATTATATTTATGCTCACTGTATTATAGTGGTAGAGATGTGTCTTTAAAGTATAAATACCAATAAGTAATGTTGTATTATTTACCCTCAGCCTTGTATGTGGGATTTTCTGCAGGGTTTGAGTTGATGCAGGAGCACAAAAGTGACACTAGAGGGAGCTCCTTCACCTTGTCTCGATATGCTGTGTGGAGAAACGTCAGGTAAGTACAAAATACCTTGTAAATATGAACAAACGCTTGCATTCTTTCAAAGATCTTCATCATGCTTGTTTACACGCAAAAAATTAGACAACTTAAAAGTAATTAACTAATTTAAAGCAGCTGTAGGCGATTTTTAACATAAAATGTCTCAAATAAATTAATCGGGTCAAGTAAAGCTCTCGTACAATATTTCGAACACTGCAGGGTTTGAGTTGATGCAGGAGCACAAAAGTGACACTAGAGGGAGCTCCTTCACCTTGTCTCGATATGCTGTGTGGAGAAACGTCAGGTAAGTACAAAATACCTTGTAAATATGAACAAACGCTTGCATTCTTTCAAAGATCTTCATCATGCTTGGTTTACACGCAAAAAATTAGACAACTTAAAAGTAATTAACTAATTTAAAGCAGCTGTAGGCGATTTTTAACATAAAATGTCTCAAATAAACTAATCGGGTCAAGTAAAGCTCTCGTACAATATTTCGAACAACAGAGCAAGATTATGGGTTCGATTACCATGGAACTGAATACAATTATCTTGAATAGAATGTAAGTTGCTTAGGATAAAAGTGTCTGTGAAATGCTTAAATGTAAACAGAACAACAGAATCTCTTTTCGATGGCTTTTTGTAGGCTAATATAGCCAAGTAACAAAATGTAAGGTGGCTCTTTCACAAAATCAACCAATGATGTGATTATTGGGGTGGAACTATATGTTTGCTTGACCAATGGGAGTTTGGGGGAGTGTTTAGGAAACCTGTTTGGAAACAAGTTCAAGTAATCAAGAAATTATGTATAGAATGTAAAAAATATGCTTAAAAATAATGCATGATATTTGTTTCTCTGGAGAAAGGCTAAAAAACAGAACCTGCTGAGCTCTCTCTTGGACATATTATTATATTTGTACAAAATTCACAAACAAAACGTACTTTTTGAAATTATATTTTGATTAAATTAATCATGATATAATTTTAATATAAAAAGTAAAATTTGTTCCTCCTATTTCTAAAACTCTTGTGTTAACATTTCAGCTGAAGTACAAGAGAAAAAATCATGGCCTGCAGGGGGGCCTTCAAATATTGAATTTGATAATGGAGGCTTTGGTGTTTGGGAATCAGGGAGGACTTTTGTAGCTTACCTGCCAAGGTCATGTTTATGCAGTATTGTGTGTAGTTTACAACTCTTTACTCTGTCCTGTTTAGAGAGAGAAAGAGAGGATTAGGAAAGTGTGTGTGTGTGCGTGTGTGTTTAGTCCTGCACAAGGATAAAACACTCTGGCCTAGTAAATGTTTTGAAACATAAGAATTATTAACCATTAATTAAAATAATACAGTACATTTAAAAAAAAGGTCAAATGCAGATCCATTGTGCATGAGATGTCTGAAAGGAGCTTGTTGTGTTGTGATGTGGCGGGACACTTGGTGAGAGAGGAGCATGAATTCAGATGAGGAGCAGCAGGGAGTGTCACGCACAATCTCTGTATTGTTACTCTGCCTCAAAGCTGCCACTTATCAGAATACAAAACAATTTTAGAAAACAATAAACATTAAACATTACATAAATCCTAAAACCATGAGCAAAACTGACATATAACCTTATGAAGAGACACCACAAAGAGAAAAGCATTGCCCTGCCCTGTTCATACATCAACACACACTACTTTATCCAAACACCTGCATGTATAGGTGTTTTTTTTTGTTTGTTTTTTACTGCTTTTGAGTTACTGTATTTGTAACTATATTCTCACATCTCTGTTACAAAACAAACTAATACGACAGCTTTACATAATCATTGCCCCAAATGGCAAATACCCATAATGTCAGGCTAAACACATGTAAAAATCCACTCTCAAATGACTACATTAATACAAAACACAATAATAAGTAATAAAGTCCAACCCAATCACTGCAGTCAGTGCTTATGTGTGCGAAATGTTGTTTACTGACTCTTGCCTTGGAATGACATAATCTAGTGCACTCTTGAATTATGTCATCTTTTAACACCGCTGCGTATACACACAGATTCAGATACATTTGCAATACATTCCCATTTTCATGCATATAAAGTTGCTTCGCATACATTATAGATGGCAGACAGAACACTGAGTTCCCTCTAGACCTCTGGTGCGGCACATTTAGTCTTAACTCAAAGGTAACCTTTTTCATTTTAATAATCAATGCAAGTCAAATCACAAAAACATCAGAGCAAAGCAAGTCTCCTCTCTTTTGATTTTGTGATGCCCACACTTACCTTTTCTCCTTGATGAGGTGTTGTCCCTATCTCCCCCCTCTCTCTCTTTCTGTCTCTTTCTCTCTCCCTGGTATCCTCTTTTTCACCTCCCTCTCTTTTGCTCTGTGCCTGCTGCTCCTCGGATACAAGAGCTCAGCAGCATCAGCAGCAGCACCCCTCCTACCGCATGACATCATCTTCCAGTGCTGCTATTGGACGAGGTGAGTGGCAGAGCGCGGTGGGCCAGCTTCTCCATCACTGTGAAGGACGGGGGGTGGTAACTCTTTGTGCTTTACTGCAGGTGTCCATGCAAAATAGAGGACGGGTGTTTTCCAACACATACTGTAGATGACAAAAAGAATTACAAAAGACAGGGATTAGAATTTACTTTACTATAATATCAAAAATAATTGTACAATAATATTAAGAAATATTAGTAATAATAATACAACAAAAGCAAAAACAAAACTGTATAACAAAACTATAAATTACATTTTATCTTTTTAAAATATATTATATCCCCTGATTCTGGATAAGTGGTTTGGAGAATGTATTTATATTTTATTATATTATGACAAATAATAAAAATCTGAATTTTTTTTTTTTGATTTAGAACAGGCGTTGCTCTACTTTACTTTATCCTGTATTTTTCCCAAATAAAAAAAATGTGAAAAAAATATTTCAAAATTTATTGAGATCAGACATTGCTCTACTGTACCTTAAACTTCGTATTTTTCCACGTCTGTACTTTATATATAAACATATTACATTATAAATAATAATAATACAACAAAAGCGAATACAAAACAATTTTTCTCCAAAATATATTATATTTTACCTAATCAAAATTATATTATATCCCCTGCTTCTGGATAAGTGGTTTGGAGATATATTATATTATATTATATTATATTATATTATATTATAATATATCCCCTGCTTCTGGATTAGTGGTTTGGAGAATTTATATTATATTATATTATATTATGTTTATTATATTATATCCTGTATTTTCATAATGCATAAACTGCAAGTGTCACATTTGTGAAGCACCGCTTCTGCTACAGAACTGCATAGCCATACTACAGTATATGATGTCACCCAGATATCTGTCCATAAAGAATGCAACAAGAGATGAAGACTAAAAATGAAGGGATGTCAGGAAGCTAGAAGGTCTAAATACATTTATTAGGGAATGATGGACTCAATCAAGGGGTGTGTCTCTGTACTGTACTGCAATTTAATACAAGCCAAATTGCTCTGACAGGAAAAAGAACGATCTTTAGTCAGCCAGTGCTCCTGATCTAATGACTGAAACACTGACTGGAAAGAGAGAGGGACATCATCACAATAAGAGATGTGATGATCTAATTTAGGCATCAGTGCAATGCTGCTAATCATTTGTAAAGAAATATGTTGTATTAATTAGACAAAGTCAAAACAAAAGCTTTTTTACAAGTGGTCTCAGACTTCCAGACCCGAATATCTTCACAACATGCCACACCGCTTAGAATCTGGACCCCAGAGACTCATGTGATTCTGCATGTGTCTCCAGGTGCTGTCTGTGTATTGATCTTAGGGGAAGGGAACAGTGGAAGCATAATGAATAAAAACCCTAATTAAATCCCACTGAGGTGTGACAGAAATTAGACGGTTACTGGAAGCACAGTCTCGCTCTCTCAGCACTGCACACATTCACTGTAAATTATTTGGGATTAAAAACACCTGCTCTTTTGTATTGAAATATTCAATATTCTGCCCACTACTGTACATTTCAGCCTATTAAAAACATATCAACACACTCCTCTTATGGTTAACTCCAACACAAAGCATGACTCACTAAGGTAGAGCTGTGAGTGAATATGTAATCTGACATCATCCCGTGCCTTTTGATGACTTCACCCACATATATTGATTCTACTTGACCAATTAGATAGCATCTTTTAATCCAATTGCAGTGGCTTTCAGTAAATAATGACATTTTTTATTGTTTACAATTTTCATAGTCAGCCAAACCACATTTCTCTGACATACTTCAAAACTCTACTCAGCCTGGTCATTTCTTCTGGTTAGGATGTTTTTTTTTTTTTTTACATTTCTGTTTCTCTGCAGTGTTTAGGTTGAGATCCCTAATCAGAGAAATGACACCGGTGATGTAATGGGACTGGACAGCAGTGGACATCGAGTGAGAGAGAAAGGGAGGGAGAAAGACTGATAGGATAAGATTAAAGGGCAGGAAATGGATTTTTATTTCCTTAGAGATTTGTAATTAAAACGGGGGGATGTTAATGCATACTAAATGTGCCTTTTCTTTTGATCTTTACCCAGGCTTCGACTTTATGCAAAGCTGGAGACTATGAACGCGAAGAGTATTTGCAAAAAAACATTTTAAATACTCCAACTATAATAAATTCTGGAACTCTATTGAGGCCTTTCGCACAAAATGCTTTTTT